AGGTGGTTCCAGACGACTCTCTCCCCTATCCCCTCGATTCGTCAGCACGCAACCAGTAGAAGGAGCACCCTATGCAGCATGCCATGCCTGGTGAGGCTTCTTTGCAAGATTGCTGATGCTTCCCTGGAGCGCGAGACATAGATTGAGGCCAATCCTGGGAACCAAGTCGTTGCGCCACATGGCAGAATCCAAAACTATGAAACGACTTGCCTTACAAGCGGGTGGAGCAGGGATGGTTTGGGCAGAGTTTGTACTGCGAACTTGTAAGAATCCAAACATCCATTGTCAAGTTCGATCTCGAATGTGTACAAATTGCACACATATCAATCAAATGATGTCTTCTTGTAGGATGCCAGAACAAAATGGGAAGAAGTGAAGAAGGGCAAACACGAACAACAACTGCACACTGGCAGGGTGTTGGAAAGAAGAACAAATAACGTTTAACATAGCCTCACCTCTCAGCAGGGTGCGGCTAAAGCTAGAATGAAGAGAAGCTCATCTCAACAAGCATCAGTATCAGCACGTGAATCAGCATGTCATCATGTGCCTGTTTCTGTTGTTTTTTCTTGGATTCAGAACCCTTTTTTTCAGGAGTGTCCTGGATAGCACGCCATCACCTCCAGCAGGCTCCTGGCAGTGTCCAACGGAAAAAGAAAGCGTTGAACACGACGATCGACCGTCGCAACCAGTATCCGGCAATCCAAACTATTTAGATGATGAATGATGTCAAAAAATGTCTAAAAATACATGAAACAAATATACTTCTTCCTGAAAACCACTCGTGCTCTGGCCTCAGGCAACATAGGCACGTTTTTTTTGCGCGAAAACAGGTTTACTTACAGTTTCTAATTGAGCGTGTTTTCGGGTAGCTCTTCGTGTAAAGAAGCCTCGCGTGAAACCTTCCGCCTTGCTAGCACGAACCTTGCATGACGCTGATCCACCGCCTTTATTGTGACGACTCCCAAGTGAATCAGTGTAAATAGGGACAAACCGAATAGAACGACGGGAAAACTTGGCCAGCTTCCATGTTCCAAATATTTTGGTGATACTGTTCAACTCAAAATCCTCGTTCCCCGGTGTGCAACTATGAATTCCCTGAATCTGTGCTGTTCCTCTGGATAGTATCTGTAGGAACGTCCCTGGGCAGTTGGGAAAACCCCTCAACACGGACCCAACAGCTGCATTACGGAAGTTCCAAGGGCAACCATTACATTGGTCCATTGCCCGTTCCAAGGATGCTCAAGGGTCTCGCCTTACCGGCGGCTCAACGAAGGAGCTGAACCTTTCTTGGGCACATCCTTACGCCCACAGCTCACCGCGGCCTTGATGGTAGCTCGATGACTTCCGCGTCTTCGTGTGCCTAGTTCCATCGAGCGCCCTTTACAGCAACCAGCACTTTTCGACCCTTCAATCTCACTTTTCAGAGCGAATCAAGTCAAACATGTGCAGATCACGGGAAGGACTAGGCGATCGGTGGAAACTACAGGAAACATGCTCAAGGGAACGAATCTTTGGTTGCAAACAGCTTGCAATCACTGAGGCTTGTCGTGAGATCCAGGACTCGATAAAGAATACATCGCCAATCATCGCGCCTAGGGCGCATGCAAACAACGAAAAGGGCATCCGAACATAGTGGATAAAAAAATGGATCCGAAACATGATGAACCAAACAGTTTCCAAGCGTCCGAGCACTCTTGGAGGGAACTTGTACATATATAGATTAGTCTAGCACCTATGACCGATATTATATATTATATATGCTTATATTACTTATAAATATATATATTACATTAACTTACATATTTTGGGGGGGGTACACTAGTCTATAGTATACACCCATGAATCCCGGATGGATTAGGATGATTTGGACCATGGATCCTCCAACACATCCGAAAAAGAGGCGTTCTGAGCATGCGCGACGCTTCGGGCGGTCGAAAGACCGCTCCGCAGAGAGACCAACAAAGAGAAACCGAACGGACTGTCTGCGTGTGCCTGATCCAACGGAATATCTCCCATGAGCAAACTCTAAAGGCGTAGTACTTTTCCGGGGACGAAAGCTTCAATCAGCTTTGCATCCTTTGCATCCTTTGGAACTCCGCAGGGTCATGAAACTTATTTGGATCCTTTGCTTTCCCCCTCCGCCACACAGCTGTTCGATCCAGGCACCGGGGTACAAGCGCGCTATCTTGAAAGGCTGGGCTTCCAAGAGCTTGCCATCGAAGAGGATCTTGCTTACATCTGCAGAGCCCTTTGAGAGCACCAGCAAAGACCTAAACGACATCCCCTTGCCATAGGAGGTCAGACAGGCAAGGCCCCGAACAATCCAGGACGCATGCCGGAAGTTCGGCACAAAGCTACATAAAGCATCATAAAGCTACGGTACGAGTATAGAGGCATAATGATGCGTACAAACGTTGTAGTCGAACACTTATACTCCCTTTCTCTGGATCCGTGGAGTTCACCCCATTCTCCTGGTCTGAAAACTCATGGTCTGGAGGAACGCCCAGGCCATTCTCATCCATTCTCCACCTCCGAGAGCACCAGGCCATTCTACACGTCCGTCGTCCCGGTCACTGGCGTGAGCACCACCACCCGTCAACCGTTCGGACCCACGTTTTGACGACGGTTTGGAAGACACCAAACAAGCGACCCGACCCCCCCCCCGCCGCTGTACCTGAGTTTCTGACCACCTCCATGTCATATTGTAGAGAAGATGGGGGGACGAACTGCGTGATGGGTTCTCCTCTTTTTCGGCACCATGCGGCGCAGCAATGACTGGATCCGACTCTCCCGCAGAGGTTTGGGATACGGCGCGGGTCACCGCTCTCTCGACGTCTACTGGATGTTTCTCTCCATCGTGTTCGATGCAAAAAATCGGGATGAAACAGGGATGACCATTCCATCTCCATAATTTCCCATGTACTATGGGGATGGAGATGGATGGGGACCATTTCCATGGGCATGTACATGTCTTTTAGGAGTACAGGGATGAAATGGTACTCCTATTGAAGGATTTCCCAGGTACTCCTTGAAGATCACTGGACCATCCATATCCATCAACCTGTTTGCTCCCTCTTTTTCTTCTCTGCCAAGAGGCTCAACAGAATCACAGTCTCCTTCTTGCACAACTGGATCTCCGGCCGCATAGTTTCGCAGCTCGCTCACGGACGCCAGCATCCAAATGACCTCAACAGAAGTCCTTTGTTTGCAATGTTGTTTCTCCCTCACAGCACATGAGGATTTGACAACATGGCCTGGGTCGGTCCCCCTAGCCTGTACACATTAATGGGAAGGGGCCGACCATGACCAACTAGGTTTCTAGCCATAAATATTGTTCGTTGCTCACGTGAACAAATACAGCAAAGGTGAATGGTGAACGCAAAGGCGTTTGCAGCTCTGTCACCATGCAAATATCACTTCCAGTCCCCGTTTCTTCTGACCTGCGCAGTCACTGTACCAACGCTTCCAAGACACTTCTAGAGGAAGATTTGGAAATGTTGCAAGCCGGATCAAGGTCTCAAATCTATACCGTACCTGGATCATGACGTCGGATACGTGGCGTGACATCCAAACTCCAAACTCTGAGACAATGGCCCCTTGGGTCCACAGACTTCAATCACCTTCCGATGTTCAATGCTAAGAGTCCGCTTGTTGATTCTCGTCAAAGATCTCCAGTGACGGGGTCCCCGCAAAGACATCGTGAATCCGCTCCAGAGAGATGCATGCCAGCTTGCATTTTCCAGCCCTCAAAGCAACAACAATCGGCCCAAGCAAACATTCCTGACTGCACTCTCGATAGTTGGCTAGCCCCTTACAGTAGATGGCACAAACCCCTACATGTCCTTTAGATGGGGGTTCAAATAAACCACCTTTTGGGGATTGTGCCATCTACTCTGAAATCACTGTATCATTGTGACTGACGTTTCTGTGCGCACTAGAAGCTGACTCGATAAGTGTGGCTGAAATGAGATGAAAAGAGGGATATCAATGGATATCAGCTGCAACCCGCAGTGGGTCAAGTTGTTGGGTCAGGGGAGGAAGGTCTGCGCGACCTGGTCGGACAAACCCGATCAGGAAGTGCATGATTTTCCTCCAAGTGTCTGCGTGTCCTCCTTCTGCAAGAGATTCCTCTGGTTTGTGAGAGCATCCACCACCTCCTCAGTGGACCGCATCCGAAGCTGCACTACTCATCATCCATGACGAAATAAATGGCTTATCTTGATTCATTCATGATCCTTGGTATAAACATGATACTACAGGAATCAATATAACTTGATAGCGTTCATATGCTGCGTTCAGTTCTATTACCAATCGCCTGGTTTCCCAGTGCCTCCCGTCGTCTCCCGCCCCAAAAAACCGGCCGCTCCGCAGTGCCGGCCCTTTTCGCCGGCCCAGCGTCCATGCGCAGCGGCACGGTCGACTGCTCCGAGGACGAGCTCACGGAGCTGGTGTGGGGACACAGGTTCATCAGGCAGTCTCGGACCAACTGCTGGGTGCCATCGCCTCGGGTGTGCGGCAGGTGAGGTGAGGTCTGTGGTGCGTCGACCGTTGATGCCATGCGTAACTACGTGACATCGGTGAGCGTACCCCCGAGCAACCAAGTGTGGGGGCTGTATGGACCTCTTGTTCAGGTAGACATGCAGTGCTCACATTGTCACAAAGTTTGGTGTTTTAAAATGTGTTCAAGGTGTTTTCATGTGGTTTCATGCCGAATGAACAAACCAGATGTGTTCGAGGGTTCATATGAAATTCCAAGCTCTTGAAAGGGATTTGGAGGATTGTGTATGTATGCCCAAAAGCAATCTGTTCAAACTTATGCTTGCACGACGCGTTCCTGGCAACGTTCAAACTTATGTCCAGATATGTCCAGTGCTCTTTCAAGATCTGTATGTTTAGCCAAGTGGCTAACTGTGAATTCCCATGCCGAAAATGGGAATTCTATGGAATCTAGTGAGTACTCCATTCCCATCGTCTCCACCATGGACTATGCCAGTTTGACATACTTTGACTTACGTTGACCATACCATGGTTTGGCCACATCGCACATCCCCAAAAGATCCCAGCGGCTCAAGTCTGGCAGCGTGAAGCCGAAGTCTTCGCCGGAAGCATCTGGGCCAGGTCGGGTCGTTGGGTTCACTCGAACGCCCGAGGCGCAATTCGGAAGGCTTTCGGACGAATGGAAGCTCTTGGACGCACATCGGTCCCAAATGGAGAACTGCCAATGAAAGTGGAGGAGTCATTCCCTTATCAGGATCAGCCCGTCCAACTCCAGCACGTTTGGATACTAAGGTACAATGCAATTACATCACTGCCACCAGCAGTCCAACACGCATCCCCCCACTACACATGTCATGTCTATGTATTGCATATATATATATATATATGTATACATACATATACACAGTATACATATATATATATATGTTTTATTATGTTTTAATCTTCTATCTCTTATTTCACTTGCTACTGCGGATCCTGGCTATGAGACTGATACATGCACGGTTTCGATCGCTTGGCCAGCTTGGTTTCGGCCTGGATTGGGCAAATGGCTTGGATCCTCTTCATTGGGCAAGATCTGTGTCACGTCCACAATGACGCTATTGGGCCTGAAAACAGCAGCAATGTTGGACGAGTGTACCCACCCGTCAGTGTACCCAGCCGCCCAAGCAAACAGGGTGGCCGAGCTGCTCCCTTTGACGGGGGGGAAGGTGACTCTCTTGAAACATGGAAGGCCCAAGCATCCCCAATCCAAAACCTTAAAATAAAAATGTAAAAATACCCGTTTTAAAAAGGGGGGGAGGTTGGGGCGAACAGTTTGTAAGGGGACCAGGTTTGGAGTCTACAAAAAGCTCTGACCCAAGCTGCTTTGCCATCTACAAAATGACATGTACCAGAGTGGGCGTGTACAATATGATGATGCCTCAATATTGCTATCTGATTCTTACAGGTGCATAGCCATCCATACAGCAAAGTGATTTCTCTACAAAAATGGTGTTCTGTAGGTGCCAAAAACTGCCTCGTTACAAAATGGCCCCTCTGTAAGGGCCTCAAGCTCTCCCTTTTTGTAGAGAAAATTTCAACGGGTATTTAAAAAAAAAGACAAAAAACATAATCTTGGCAGAGGTCGGAGGGGTTCACCACCACGGCGATGATGAGTCGTTTCTTTTTCGACTCAGCCTATCAAAAGCATGCTCCTCCGCCACGGTATGGGGCCGGGAAACTAAAAAGAGCAGCAGCAACGACCACCACCACAACAACAACAACGGTCGGTCCTCGAAGGCTTCGGCTTGCCGGCAATCTTCGACCTCCTCCTTAAAGTTCTCAGGTAGGTCCTGTCTCAACAACCACATTTATCATCGCGCTGATCTCAGCGAACACCGATGCATCCAGCATCAAGGTGACGTCGACCCCAGGTGAACGAAAAGATTGGAGCAATGTGCCCAGTCAAACCATGTCAAACAGGCCCTGTTTTCGCCAAGAAGAAACGGAAGAAGTCATCTGAGATGTGCTTCACACTGGCTTGACAGCGGCATGTGACTTCATGTCATAAAGGGTCCGAAACAGTACTGGACAGCAGTACTGCACAGTACTAAACCAACCCCTTTCTCACAAACACCTGCCATGTCCACCACCTTCCCACAGTCCGGGACACCACTCCGTCAAACCGCTCAGCCGTGCTCACACTGTCCATCTCAGTTCAGCCGTGCTCAGCCCATACCTCTTCCTTCCATCCATCCTTTCATTCCCACCACCCCGACCAACGCAGGCGACTGGGTGCCCAACACCGGTGGCGCCTGAACTGCACCTGGGCTGCTTCATGGAGCCGCAGCATCCCGACGAAGCCCAGGGCGAAGCCGCCCGACGCCAGCGAGGCCGCGTGGCCGCCCACGCACACGTACAACGCGCCCGACCTGGGTGGGGGCGGATGGCGGCGCTAAAGCCCCGAGAAGCCCGAGTTCCAGTCCAGGAGATTTTGGAGGTGGTAGAGGGACCCAAGGGAATTGGGTTTTTGCTGAGACCGTGCCAAGGACATATTGAAAAGTGTTTGAAGAGATCAAAGTGCTTTTTGTGTGGGTTGAGGCCATTCTGTAATGACACTGATGGTTGTTCCCGATGTCTTCTGTGCACCAAAAACAGTAAAGCTTAAGAAGGATGAAGCGCACATCATGGCCTACAGGATAGAACTTGAAGTCCTTCCTTGAAGTTGTTTTGACTTGGAGAAGGAGAAGGTTGAGAAGGTGTCGTCTTTTTGCAAACCATTAAGTCAAGCTTCTGGTTCATGGCTTGCCCCTCGTTTGCAACATGTTGCAACCATTCTCAGCACCAGAGTCAAGTTCTGGCACATGTGAAAGAGCATATACATATGTATATATATATATATATGATTAGTCGAAGCTAGACGTCACACTCAGTATGTAATTAGCAAGCTCAAGGAGAGCTTAACAACACTGAGTGCAGAAACGCGCATCAATAAGCCAAGGGGCACCACAATCATTAAAGACATCTCATCCTTCATTGGTATCCTTGGCACGGACGGCCCGTGCGACATGTCACATCCAGGTGTTCAGTCAATCAAGCAAATCATTGAAATTCATTGAAGCAGATTGGATGCAAGTTGTTGGCATAAAACAGTTTCCAACCTGCACGGTGCAAACAGTCTCTCCAATTTCTCCAAGCATCTCATGCCCTCTCCCAGGTGTCCACGAAAATGCCTGCAGATCTTGGTGAGCTGATGACGTGACCAGAACCGGACGAAGCAAAGTCACCGGCGGTGACGATTTTCTCAGCAATTCAGGAATTTCAAGAAACTGTAATGCCGTCCTGTCTTCACTTTCATTCATACAATTTAAAAATGGTTCGCAGTGAAAAAACGACCTTCCCACAAATTGACATAAAAGAGCGCAAACAACTCGCACCCCACACTGCATCACGTCAGCATGACGAGAAAGCCACTGGACTCACGGGCATGTCTTCCCTAATTGGAATAGATACATACACTATACAAATTCATATAGCCAACACCGACAATCAAGGGACTGGCTGGACACAAGCCCAAACAACAACCCGTTGCAATAGGTCGCTATGACCAAGCGGCTTGGGCTGCAAGCCGCTTGAGCAAGTCAGGATCACATCCCTTGAAAATCCGCTGCGCAGCGAGTGCTGAAGAGACCAAAGAAACGACCTCGGCTGCACCAGGCATGTGCTAGGTGACTGCCCAAAGTTGAGAACATCATCAGCCTGGTTTGCAACCTCTCCCTGCGAAATCCGATGAGAAGATGAGACAATGTTGACAATCATACACACTTTTGTATCTGTTTGTATCTGTTTGTCTTGCTTGTCTCATTCTGCTCGAAAACCAACCAGATCACTGGAGGGTGCAAACAAGCCGAGCAAGCCGAGCCAGGATCGATTCAAAAGGATTGGCGATTGAGCGATTGACGTGTGCAGAGCAACTAGGTAACTTTGGGACATTTGCTGCGGAGAGAGGTGTTTGTGAGGATTTGGTAGGATAATCTGGGTGGGGATGTCAATGATGCAACGTGATGCAACATGATGCAACAACACTTGTTCAATCTCATGCCATCCCTCATTTTGGGCAACTTTAGACTTCCGCTTGGTTAGTGAAGGCAGGTGTCAACCAACAAGTAAGTGCTCAGCTTACACTAGAAAAGCTTTACAAGGAGCTAAGAGCATTCCCCAAGCTGCTCCTGCAATGCAAACCACCCTACGTTAAAGCGGGCGTTCGCGGTGGACTGGCATGATCCGACTGGCATCGCGTCTCGGCAAAGTCTGGACCTCTTACATGTAAAACATCCATGTCATGAGAGTTATGTGGAATTCCCTTTCAGACTAAGAGGCGAAACATGGATACATCTTTCAAAGATACATGTTGAACAAATGCACTTGGACAATGTTCATCCTTCATGTTCTGGTAGGGCATCGCTATTTGTTGGCGGGGGCATCACTGCCATGGTCACTTTCTTTAGCTTTTGGGAAATTCATAATTAAGTTTGAAAGCAGCTATATAGCATCTTCTCGCATCATTCATACCGTGACGTTGACTGTGGCTTATATGAGAGGCGTCACAAGCAATGCCGATGGTGTTGGAGCAATTCCGATGCTAGGATGCTAGTCAGGCCAACGTGTTAGGGATAAGAATCACGCCAAAAGAATCTCGCTAAGATACAAACTGTCTCGTCTTCAGGATTCCCACAAACTGATCTTGGCCCAGTAAAGTCCGGGCAAAACGAACTCCAAAATGTTCGTCCAAGTAACATCTTCACTCCAGTTCTCTGTCATCCACTGGTGCTCACAGGTGACGCCAGAGCAGAGTGAAGGAAAATCACTCTCGCTAAATGCAAGTCGCAGAATCCATCGTGGGCCCCAAAGTACCACTTCCTACCCCAATCAGGAAGTCTCGGGTCCTCTATTGAGCATAGACCTGCAGTTGACACCTCATCGTATATC